CACTTTCATTTCGTGCTTTGCTGATGTGGGTGATGGGCCGTTGGCCCATATGATCCCATGTGTTTTTCTTTAAACACCCCCACAATCCAGATACACCCCCTTCAATTTATTTTTGTTTATTTGAATTAATAATTTTTTTTCTTACCAATTTCATATATTGTTAATTTTTGTTGTTAAAGCACTTTATATTAATTATCTCTTTTAGCTTTTGTTAAAAAAATTTTGGTAGATATTTTGGTTACATCTTTGATTAATTCTCTTCTTTTTTAATTTTTACTCATTTTTACCGTTTATGTCGATGACGACATTTCCGTAATTCATTATCAGTCAAATTATTGATGAATAATGTTGGATCCGAGACCATATATTTCTCTCCTTATTTCTCTTCATCTTTCGATTTTATTTTGACTTTTGGTGAACGATGAAGTCCTGTATCCGCAAGACGAGATCCATTCTATTTTGGTCCGTGCCACATGATTCAATTGGAGAACGATCCTCAATATCGTTCCTCTATCTTGTCCATAGCACAGAAATCGATACGCGACCTCCTATAGCTTGACTTCCTTATAAGTCGAGTTACGACGGTCCAGCGTCACATTGGTCCCGATTCGAAGCATCATCAAGGACCAAAAGAGGAGAAGATTGGAATGGAGCTTGCGCACGATGTCAAGGGTCAACGGAACCACTCCGTTCGGTAACATCTTTCTAATTCAAGTCTTTTAATCAACCTCCGAGTATTGTGAGTTCTAAGCAATAGATACGTGGAAAATGATGAGTGGGGGGCCTCCTCTCATTCATCTAAAGTGTTTAGCGTATGTCCTTTAGACAATATGCAACACATTCGCTCCTACGCCTTAGTTTCTTGCGTGTGTGTCCCGAGTTCCTTCCCGTTTAGGCGTGTTAGGCCTGCTTCCTCTTTCCTCTCGCCCCCGTGCGACCGAGACTCCTTTCTCTCGCCTCCTGGAGATTGAAATCCCCTCTCTTGCCCCGTGAAATCGAGACTCCCTTTTCTCTCGCTTTCGTGCGATCAAGACCGTTTCCCTGTAGTTGGCCGAACTACGGCTGCTCTGATATCTCATATCTGTTGAGAGTACGTAGGCATAGGATTGCGATAATCCTAGTGAGCACTTTTCCCTCTTCCCTTTAGGTAACCCGTAACTTTAAATCAATGACATACTACGTCCGTTCTACCGCAAACAGGTAACGCCTAAGTCTCCAATGGTCGAGCAGCAGTACACTTAACTGCTAGAATTGTGCGCTAGTATCGTCTACCTTTTCTCTCGCTCCCCGTGCGATGGAGAACACCCCGTTTTACCCGTAGTTAGCCTGAACTACGTTTTGCTGTGATTTCTCGTACCAGACGACAATACGTAGGCATAAGACGCGGTGTCTTGGCGAGCAATCCCCCCCCCCCCCCCCCCCCCCCGTAGTTTCCCGAACTACGTTGACTCTGACTTTCCCATTGCACGAGGCAATACGTAGGCATAAAACGGCGATGCTCTATCGAGTTAGTTCTTTCCGTTTAGCTTTAGTAGCCGTAGATAGTTTTTTTCCATCCATAGACTAGACAACAAGCGTGGATCCTGTCGAGTACGACGGACGTGGGGTGCTAATACCTTCCCCTTGCGTAACCGACTCCCGAACCCGAGATTTGGTTGCGATGACCTGTCTTATTCCCTTTTCGTAGGTTTTCTCTGATTGTTTCCTTTCCCTCTCTTTGGGATAAATAACGAACGGTGGCGACTCTTCTGTCTTTACCGGCCCCTCTTTGCAGCGATGTGACAACAGGATGTTGAAGGCTCGTCGGTCCTATTTGATCGGGCATTCTCCCGAGGCCTGGACTCTCGGGCGGAGCTGGCAGCTTCCTTCTCCTCGTACAGAATGTACGACTAGGCTCTGAGGAGGAAAGCGTCCAGCGTTGCGGCGGGGCCTCTTCATGTCAGGGACGGAGCCCGCGTTCTAGTAGGAATCTCTTCATGTCATCAACGGTGGAGACTTGGATGACCTCCTTATTGAACCTCTCAATATAGGCTCGCAGAGGTTCGTCCCTGCCCTGAATAATAGCTTCGAGGGAGGCTTCGGTCTTCGGATGCTAGCGAGATGCCGTAAAATGTCTAGAAAAGAGTCTTCCCAGTTGCCTCCACGAGGTGATGGAGTCATCCGGGAGCCTTTTGTACCAGGTCATTGCCCCTTTCCTGAGTGTGGTCGGGAGTAACCTGCATTTGATGGTGCCCCAAACATCGCGATAGTCGAGCAGCGCATCGATGTTTTTGATGTGCTCGTCAGGGTCAGTTGTTCCATCGTACGTGCCTAGAGAAGGGGGATTCTCTAGTCCTTTTAGGAGGCGCATGACTATGATTTCTTGGGACAATGGGCAGCAAGGCTCATCATCGCTGCTGCTGTTGGTCCAGAAGGGAGAATGTGCGTTACGTTCGTAGGTAGGATGGTGGCCACGTTGCGGAGACGGGGTTTGTGCTCGCCCTTTAGATATGGGTGGTGAGCGTGGAGACTCCACCAGGTGTTCTCTTCGGCTCCTCTTGGGCTGCAGGACTGATGGTTCTTGGGAGAATGCTGGTTGTGTTTGTGGACGGCCACGGTCTCCGGTTCTGGCGGTGTTCGATGACTCCTCTCGCGCCGGGGAGGGACTCTGTTACAGTCTTTCTTTCCTTGGTGGAGGGGATCTTGGACGATGGGACTCTTCCAAGGCTTCAATTCTTGCACTCTAGTTGAGGATGAGGAGGTTGGTCTTGTTGAGAATCTCGAGGAGGGCTGCCATGGCTGGGTCGACGTTGGGCAGAACTGGGACTAACAGGTGATGCTGGTCAAGCGGGACTTCGCCATGATCTGCACGAACAGGGGATGGAGAAGCTGTGACTCCATCTCTTCGTCGGAGAGCGTCGGCGGCATGAGAGGTGGATGCCCCTTCAGCATCAGTCTTGCTGACGGGGAGGAAAGCAGAATTATGAGCATCAAGATTGTTGTCATGGGCAGACATGATCAAAAAGTTGAAAAAGTGTTTTGGTCTTTGTGTCTACGAGAGGAGAAAATACGGGGATGAAAGTTTTTCACAGACGGCGCCACTGATCTTACCGAACGATCATAATCTGAGATGGGTCAAGGACAAACGTCTGTGATGCTGGATGTAAAAGAGGAGGAGGAGGTGTACCTGTAAGGCACTCTGATGCTAAAGTAAGAAAATGAGTAAGAGAGCAAGCAAGTACAGAATATGCATTTTTAGGTAAGAAATTGGATACCTGACCCTCTCAAGTGAGAGGGTTTTTATAATGCCCCAAACGCTTGACCATTAGTCCCTATTTTCGGAACGAGATAACCGTTTTCCAAATAATAAATAACTGCCAGAAATAGTAATTGGGACGGGCAGACGTGCCCATAACTAGCCGTTGGGACGGACAGACGTGCCCATAACTAGCCATTGGCATGGGCAGAAGCGTAGTTACAGGCACAAGTGTCTTGGTTGTTTCTGGATGGTGGAACCGTGCGTGACAGACAAAGATTGACGGGGAGAAGTATTGTGACCAAGGGTAAATAGGTCAGCTTCCCTTGTTGAAGGGGCAGAAGGGTAAACTCTCCCCCAACGAGGTTGAACTTAGACAATTGGACTATTATGGGAGAAGAAGTGGATTGGGTCATACCCAACCATTAGGCCAGTTCGAAATATATATATATATATATATATATATATATATATATATATATATATATATATATATATATATATATATATATATATATATATATATATATATATATATATATATATATATATATATATATATATATATATATATATATATATATATATATATATATATATATATATATATATATATATATATATATATATATATATATATATATATATATATATATATATATATATATATATATATATATATATATATATATATATATATATATATATATATATATATATATATATATATATATATATATATATATATAAAAGTCAGAAACAAATGACACTAAATTATCAAACCTAATATTATTATACTTTCGATAATTCTTCACTGCTTATTCTTCATATAGTAAGAATCAAATTTATTAGATAAAAAAAAATATACTTAAGTCTAATTCTAAGTGTAACAAGAAAAATCTAATTTTAATTATTTTATGAAAATAAATTTTAAAAAAATATATATTAAACTTGAATAGATTTCGTTCTAAAGTTGACGGAAAAAATTCGTTTTTAATTTAGTTTGAGTTTGAATTTTTTTTAATCATAAAATATAAGAAATTTGGATAATAAAGACACTAATACTTATTCAAGATTCATCTTGTTTATTTTATTATATAAATTATTCTTTTATTAGAAACTTTGTGAAATTAATTTATTTTATTATTTATATTGTAATTTAATTTTAGAAAACATAATTATTTTCATTAAATAGATGGAGATATTCATACCAAATTTAAATCTCTTTAAAATAGATATAAATTTTAATTCCCCCTCCCAATTTAAATTCAAATTAGAAGGTTTATTTGGAAATTTGGGCTTGGATTTGGAGAGCGCACAATTGCCATGCCTATTTACTATTAACAAACCGCCTCTCACTCACTCTCTCTTTTCTTCACATATTTAGTCACTGTGATTTTTGTCCATTGTTTTCAAAACTTCGTCACGCTCAAAGCAAAGTAAAGGTTTGTGTTTTCCTTTTCTTCTCTTTAAGTCATGTATACTTTCTGTTTTTAACTCGCTTCTATATAACTCATTCATGAAAATGATAGCTTCTTGTTATGTATCAACTAGTCTGCTACAGTTTGTTTCAATACTTCTCCAAGTTTTAGTTTTTAGGGTTCTCTAACTGCTAGTGCCTAACCCCTTTTCTTCTTTCACCATAATGAATGATGAATCATTGCTTTTTCTTGTGTTTTTTCTTCTTCATATAATAAAAACCCAAACTTTATATACTATTAATGACAATTTTTTTTGTATAGTGTGTTGTTTTTCTCTATTGAAGATGAAAGATTCAAAATCTGTTGGAAAAAATCGTGAAGAAGGGTTATCTACCTCACCACGCATTACTTGTCAGGATCTTTCATCTACTTCTGACAAATCATTGAAAGAAAAGATTTTGAAACGGAAAAAGGTGAACAAAGCCTTAGAAATTTTTAGGGACTTGTCTCACAAGCTCTATTGTGAGTATAAGTCAAGTGAAGTTAAAAACTTGAAAGCAAAAACAAAAGCTTTGGTAGAAGCTGCAATGTCTATGAAAGAGAAGAATCAATGGGAAAACACTGGAAAGAGACTAGGGCATGTAGATGGAATTGAAGTTGGTGACCACTTTCAATACAGGGCTAAACTTATAATCATTGGTCTTCATCAACAATTCTGCCGTGGTATTGATTTTTTGGATAAAGGTGAGTTTTCTTTGGCAACTAGTATCGTTGTGACTCAGAAGTATGCTAATGTTATGAAGTCTAGTGGTTGTTTGGTTTATGAAGGTCAAGGTAGTAACCCTAAGGTACGAACAACGTCCGTGCCTTGTGATCAGAAATTAGAAGGGGGAAATCTTGCTTTGGTGAATAGTATCAAAGCTAGGAGTCCTGTTAGGGTTATATTGAAGGTTTGTGGGAAATTTAATGGGATGGAAGAATGGAAGAACAATGTTTCTGATTGTTCATATGTATATGATGGGCTGTATTCAGTTGATGGGATGACTCAAGGTAGGGGAAATTATGGAAAACTTGTATTCAAGTTTGTACTTAACAAAATTTTGGATCAATCCGCAAGTGTTTCCTCTCGAGATGTTAAGAACCAACCTGCTAGTGTTTCCTCTCGCGATGTTGTTAAGGAAACAGAAACTTCCTTGAAGAGACAGAAGTCTAAAGGTCATGTTTTCGGCAAGGATGTTATTAGAATCAATGATATTTCGGAGGGGAAAGAAAAATTTCCAATTCGAGTGGTGACGCCAATAAGTTGTGTGGAGAAACCTAAACCCTTTGGCTACCTAGTCAAAATGATTTATCCAAAGATGAATCATTCAACACTACTAGGTGGTAAATGTAATTGTGAAAATGCATGTGTTGATTCTCTTGGATGTGTTTGCATAGCTAAGAATGATGGTGTGACAGCAGCATATGGTGGTAACAAAAGACTGGTTTCCCCTATGAAATTATCCTTTATATACGAGTGTGGACCTTCTTGCACGTGTTCATCGTCTTGCATCAACCGAGTGAGTCAATGTGGTATTCAGTTCCAACTAGAAATCTTCAAAACAAATTCAAAGGGGTGGGGTGTTAGAACGCGATCTTTCATTCCATCTGGAAGCTTTGTGTGTGAGCTCATTGGAGAACTTGTTGATCAAAATAATGGAAAAGTTGTATCAAATCTACATGTTGATGACTACATTTATAATATAGGTAATGTTGTTGTTAAAGACAAATATCTAATATCTAGTGTGGATTGTGTTTTGAACTTTGTATAATTGTTGGAGTATCTATTTTGCAGGTGGTGGTAGGTTGATTGATGCAAGTAGGCATGGAAACATTGGAAGGTTTATTAATCATAGTTGTTGTCCAAACCTATGTATGAGAGATGTTATGTACGATCACAACGATAAGAGTGTAGCACACAAAGTGTTGTATGCCTTAAAGGACATAGCTGCAGGTAGAGAGGTTAGTTATGATTACAACAATTGGTGCAAGGGGAATATGAAGAAGGTTTTGAGTAATATTTGCTACTGTGGTTTATCGGAATGCAATAGATATATTTACAAATGAAGGTATGATTGGCGCTAACTGAGGAATTTGGATTGTTAAAAAGAGCAACAACAATTAAGGAGTATATGAAGCTGCTTTAGTGTGTGTAGTATTGTAGTAATTTTTTTCCTTGAAACTCGTAATGGAAAGAAAACAAATATAGAAGATAGTAATAAAATGCGGAAGCTACTGGATCAACTTTTCCCCTGCGTGCAGTTAAAAATAAGCTCCAAACAAAATTGCTCAGACAACAATAATAAGCACAAAATAGAGCAAGAGCAAATAAAATAAGGAGACACTAGAATTATTAACGTGGGAAAAAACTCTTAAAGGGAAAACAACCCACGGGACCAAGCCAGTAAATCTTCCACTAATAAATTAATGGGTACACCACAAGTCCTCCTGGAACCACCAGGGATCAACAGAGCAAATATAATCTTCACCGTACAAGGTGGATATCAAATCAACTAACCCCTCAACGGGTTCTACGACACAGCAATAAAGAGACACTCTTTGATATTCTTCTCTCTGTCTGTAGAGTCGTTCACGTTGCAGCTCTCTTCCCACTTGCTACTGTTATATCTAACACACAAGGGTTAAAACCCTTTAACCATTTCATGGGCTTTGCTCCACAAAGCTAATTCCCCTTTTTTTTTCTTCTTCTCTTTTAATAATAATAATAATAATAAGATTAAATGGGCTCACTTATTTTGGTGATCCACACAACAATTCTCCCCCTCACCAAATTAAAGGGAGACCATAGGAGACCAAACCTGCTTTCTTTCTGCAAGTAGAGAACTTCTCCATAGGTAAGGTCTTTGTCATCATATCTGAACCATTCTTGTCAGTATGAATTTTCTCTAATGAAAATTTCTTCATCTCCAGCGCATCGTGTATCCAATGATACTGAACATCAATATGCTTCGACTTTGAGTGATAAGTCGAGTTCTTCCTGAGATGGATTGCACTCTGACTGTCACAATATAAAATATATTTCTCCTGTGAAAGACCCAAATCTTGTAGGAATTTCTGCATCCAAAAGAGTTCCTTTGCAGCTTCTGTGGTGGCAATATACTCTGCCTCTGTAGTAAATAAAGCAACACATTTTTGCAATCTAGACTGCCATGACATTGCTCCCCCTGCAAAAGTCATCATATAACCAGAAGTAGACTTCCTAGAATCCACATTACCAGCCATGTCTGCATCTGCAAAACCATCTAACATAGGCTTACCACCTCCAAAGCACAAACAAACTCCAAAAGTACCTTTGAGATACCTGAGTATCCATTTCACAGCTTGCCAATGTTCTTTTCCAGGATTAGAGAGGAAATGACTGACCACGCCAACTGCATGAGCAATATCTGGACGTGTACACACCATCGCATACATCAAGCTACCAACTGCAGATGCATATGGAATATTCTCCATTTCTTCTTTGTCTTTCTCACTTGTAGGACATTGCATAGAGCTCAATTTGAAGTGACCTGCAAGTGGAGTGCCAACTGATTTTGAATTTGACATATTAAACCTCTCCAATACCTTCTCAATGTACTTTTTCTGTGATAACCACAATTTGCAATTCTTCCTGTCACGTGTAATTCTCATGCCAAGGATTTGCTTTGCAGGGCCTAAATCCTTCATTGCAAAGGACTTGCTCAACTCTCTTTTCAAATGCTCAATCTCTTTCATGTCATGACCAACAATCAACATGTCATCGACATAGAGTAAAAGGATAATAAGTTTCTCACTAGGGAATTTCTTCACAAACACACAATGATCAGAAGAAGTTTTTGCATACCCATGATCCACCATGAAAGAATCAAATTTCTTGTACCATTGCCTTGGAGCTTGTTTAAGCCATACAAGCTCTTCTTCAATCTGCAGACAAGCTTCTCTTTACCTTTGACTGCAAAACCATCAGGTTGCTCCATGTAAATTTCTTCCTCCAAATCACCATGGAGAAATGCGGTCTTCACATCAAGTTGCTCAACCTCTAAATTCAAACTAGCTGCCAAACCAAGTACAACTCAGATTGAATACATCTTGACCACAGGTGAAAAAATTTCTTCAAAATCTATACCTTTCTTCTGACTGAATCCTTTCACAACCAACCTTGCCTTGTACCTTGGCTGTGAGCTATTTTCTTCTGACTTCAATTTAAACACCCACTTATTCTTGAGTGCTCTCTTACCATTAGGTAGCTTCACTAGCTCAAATGCGTGGTTCTCATGTAAGGATTTCATCTCTTCTTGCATGACTTTGTACCACTTGTCTTTCTCTTCATGTGACATAGCTTCTTCAAAGCTTTGTGGCTCTCCCCCGTGACTCAATAACCAAGGCTTCTGTGTGAGTCGATGAACTAGCCGTATTGTTTCCCTTCCTCCTGATTTCTTCATTCAATATGGCTTCTTTCACAGTATCAAAAGTCATATTGCCATTAGTGGAATTGCTCAGAGATACCACCAATATTTCCCAACTGTCTACCAATGAGCTAAGCAACAACAAAGCAAGTATCTCATCAGGAAGTTTAATCTCAATAGTAGTCAGCTGATTCACAAGATTCTGAAAACTGCTCATATCTTCTGCCACTGAAGAACCATCCCTGTACTTCAGATTAACCAGTCTCCGAAACAAAAATACCTTATTTTGTGCATTCTTGGACTCAAACATGTCCTTCAATTTCTTCCACAGACTGTGGGCACTAGTCTCACTAGACACATGATGATAAATGCTCTGATCTATCCATTGCCTGATCATGCCAATTGTTTTTCTGTTTGCCTTTGTCCATTCTGTAACAGATTTATCATTTGGCTTAGTACCGTCTCCGTCAATGGGATCATACAAGTCCTTACAAAACAGCAAGTTTTCCATCTGGGATTTTCAAATAGAATAATTGGAAGAATCCAATTTCAGCATAGTACCATCCATATCACCTTCACCCATTTTAATAGCACCAAACAGAACTCCAACCAAGGAGCTCTGATACCACTGTTGGGAAAGAAAACAAATATAAAAGATAGTAATAAAATGCGGAAGCTGCTGGATCAACTTTTCCCCTGCGTGCAGTTAAAAATAAGTTCCAAACAAAATTGTTCAGACAACAATAATAAGCACAAAATAGAGCAAATAAAATAAGGAGACACCAAAATTATTAACGTGGGAAAAACCCTTAAAGGGAAAACAACCCACGGGACCAAGCCAGTAAATCTTCCACTAATAAATTAATGGGTACACCACGAGTCCTCCTGGAACCACCAGGGATCAACAGAGCAAATATAATCTTCACCGTACAAGGTGGATATCAAATCAACTAACCCCTCAACGGGTTCTACGACACAACAATAAAGAGACACTCTTTGATACTCTTCTCTCTGTCTGTAGAGTCGCTTATGTTGCAGCTCTCTTCCCCCTTGCTCCTGTTATATCTAACACACAAGGGTTAAAACCCTTTAACCATTTCATGGGCTTTGCCCCACAAAGCTAATTCCCTTTTTTTTTCTTCTTCTCTTTTAATAATAATAATAATAAAATTAAATGGACTCACTTATTTTGGTAACCCCACAACATAAATACGTTAGGATTTGTAGGAGGGAAGAATCAAATGATACTTGTGAGTCACATAGTTGAAATGCATATTCATTCGTAACATTTAGTGTAGGCATTGCTTAGTTTACTGGGAATATAATCCTATACTCTAAATGCATGGGAAACCATTATATAATACTAGTATACTACACGGTACCTTGACTAATGCGCAACTACTTTACTCCCCCGCGATTGAGAAACAACCTGTTGGATTTGTGTGAACTTTTTATAGAAATGACTAGACGTATTAATTTTAAGGATAAAATTTATTAATATATCCTTATTAATTAATTAGTAGAGAAATTAAGTGGATGAAAATTGGGGTTATCCAATATCTCTTTTGAGCCGAGTCAATAAAGTCTCAATAAAATTATGACTTAACTTGTCACTCCTATTTGAACTTGACCATTCATATTTCGTATGAATAGACAATACTGCCTCGGCAATAGTTTTTAAATAATTTTTGAAATGCACCTCTCATAATTTTGGTAATAATGAAAACATTTTCGTTGGAAATTTTAAAATTTGCGGTACAAAATCATTTGCAAATTCTTGAAAATTTTAGAATTTTCTATAGTTATAAAAATTTTGTTTTTTACTGAAAATTTTTGAATTTTCAAAAAAAAATTAGAAAATTTTTAAATTTAGTGAAATTTTCGGTAGCTATTAATCCTTTCTATTTTTTCGTCTTTTATAGTGAAATACATGAGTAGAGACGACACTATTGGAGGCAAGCGACAAATAGAGTCGTGAGAGACCATGGTTGCTAGAGACTTGTCTGAGAGGTGTCTGTGACACTATGGTTATGTTCAGAACATGTTTCAGATATACCATTCGCGGACATTGACCAATGGTTTCAAAGTAACATCATTAACTCTGGTCGTGCCATTAGAGATCGCGTGGTTACGGTTCATCGTGTCTCGCAGTGTGAGGATGATTACTTAGAGTAGTGTCTCATATAATCACACCCTCGCATCATCCCACATGTTGAACATACAGATGATGCTGAGCTTTTTGATGTTGGGGTGCCTGTTGATGATGTGTCGTCACCGCCTCCTACAACTGATGCTGATGACCAACAACACCTCTAGATGATTGCAGTTATTATGGATAACTTCATGGGTTTGATAAACCCAGATGGCGAGGTTTATACGAAATTATCTAGGGTTGCACACATAACTTGTGGGGGGTCTATTTAAACATTATTGTTATCTTTATGTATTATTTGTATATTACATGTAAAATTACCCAGACATCTTCATCATAAATTTTTATTAGATAATATTTTTGGTCTCCCATTGATACAATATCAACATAAACTAACACTTGACAGTGGATTACATAACTTAAACATAACTTAAAAAACGATAATAAATAAGAAAACCTAAACACTACCAGATGATTCTGGACGTTTCATCATCTAATTAGGTCGTCGA